TATACTCCTTATCCCTGAGCCAGAGTAGGCGTGGCATTTGAACATGGCACGGAACTGGTTACTCGTGGAATATTCCAGTCTGGGACAACTGTCATCTTGTTCTGTGTTGGACAGAGACACGACAACAATTGTGTCAAGATGAAAATATCTCACCAGAAGCATAGACACCTTCAGGTTAAGTTGAAACATGCGGCCACGCCTACCCGATCTCAGGGATTTCGAGTATACATACACAGCACAGACATACTTAGCGAACTTTCTATAGCAGGATCAGGCTGCGTTTATACTTTGCGGCAGCGTAGCGTAGCGTAGCGTAGCGTAGCGCTTCCAGCGTACGCCAGCGGCAGTGCCGGGGAGAGGATGCATATCGATCTAGCGTTCCCAGCGTCACCAGCGCACGCTGCGTACGCTAGCGGCACGCTAGCGCACGCTGGCGTAGCGAGGGCACGGGAAGCATAGCTATCGATCTAGCTTCACCAGCGTTTCTCCAGCGTTTTCCCAGCGCTTGCAGCGACGGGGCTAGAGAGGGGCTAGAGAGTATTGAAGGTAGGAGAGTATTTTGTACTCTCCTACTTTCAATACTCTCTAGCCCCTCTCTAGCCCCGTCGCTGCAAGCGCTAGCGGGGCTAGAGAGTATTGAAAGTAGGAGAGTACAAAATACTCTCCTACCAATACTCTCTAGCCCCTCTCTAGCCCCGTCGCTGCAAGCGCTGGGAAAACGCTGGAGAAACGCTGGTGAAGCTAGATCGATAGCTATGCTTCCCGTGCCCTCGCTACGCCAGCGTGCGCTGGTGACGCTGGGAACGCTAGATCGATATGCATCCTCTCCCCGGCACTGCCGCTGGCGTACGCTGGAAGCGCTACGCTGCCGCAAAGTATAAACGCAGTAAAAGTACAAGTACAGTCTCACAGTACACTATGAAGTTTTTGTCCATCCTGCGGCGTGGTTTCTTTCTCATGCCTCAACTCTGTCACATATTGAAGCTCCCAAGCGAAGTTTTTTTCCGCAAGCAACAGTTCTTATGCTCAGCTCACTTTTGATTTGTGGGGTATCAAGTTTTCACTCAATCGGGGATTTTCAATTGTGTCATACTTACTATGGAAGATATGTATGTTTTAGTAGCAAAAAAAAATCAGACCTTTGGATCGATACCGGCTGTGGGTTCATCAAGTACAATAAGTTCTGCGTTGATCAATATTGCCACACCTGCACTTATTCGACGTTTTTGTCCACCACTGTAACATAATTCTGATATGAGTCGGATTCAGAAAGGTGACGATGCATCGAGAGCTCCCTCAAGGCAACCCAACCTCAGCGCACTGAACCTTCTTTCGACAATGACTGGTCATACGCAGTTGTCTTAGAACTTCCTTCACCACTTTGCTAGGATCATTATAACCTAAGGAGTTATGTGTTTGAAAAGATGTTTTTTTTCCAAACACAAATCTTCCGACCTGCCATGCCTGCTATAATTTCCATGTTCTGATAAGGAGAAAGAATGTCAGACAGCGAGTTGGACTGGGGACAGAATCCAATCTTCTGCAATATATGAGTATTTCACTAGATACGCATGGAAACGCTTTTTTAGTGACTGGCGGGTTTTTTGATGGACAGGGAGGAGGCTTTACTTCAGTGGTCATTTCGTTAGGTCGAGTCAAGTTAAAAAGAGACTAATTGTAAGATGCTCTGAGCACAAGTGACACGGTCTGCACGCTAAAGTGAGCTAAGAGAGTTCGAGGTGTGTAGACACACCCGCGTTAAAAAAACCTATATGGCCCCTCAGACCCGAAAAACTGGCCAATTCGAAAACGGGCTGGGTGGATAGTGACAAAGATCGAGTCAGCTGTAAGGGATATCTATGGCGAACTAGTTAAGTGTGAAGTGTGCTGATATATTAGGTTGGCGGGAATGTTTCCGACCTTTTTTCTGAATTAGGTTTTCTTTTTACAGAGAGGCGTAAAATATAAAAAATATACAGCACTGCTGCGGCGGGGCACTTGCCAATATATCATATGGATGCAGTCGCTCCACAATGCATCCCGGCGCAACGCAAAGTTGGACATTATCTCGATTTGAACATGGTCTCGGTCGTGAAACTTTTCTCGTCCGTGCAACGGGTAAGTACGGAAGACAGTCAGCTGCTAGGAGCAATGTCTGGGCCAGACCGGTGCAAGGCGAGAGTTGTCCATCACCCCTTTGGCTCAACCTCTTTCGGGCGGGGTGGGCTGCATTGTCATGCTGAAGGCAGACTCTGCGGACAAATTTCCCCCTTCCGATCGATGATTTGCATCAGATCTTGTGCTGCTTTGCGTACGGATTGACCAAAGACCAGAGTTCGGGGAAAGCGCTCGAAGGGTCGATGCAGACGGTAGCAGATCGCATTCTTGTCCATATTGCAAAGGAAGAAGAATCAGGAGTCAAGAGAGCCGTACCAATAGAGAGACTGTTCCTTGCCGTATAAACGCTCACATTACGGCTCACCCCTCATCAGGCAATGGGCAAGTATATTGAGTCAGAAATAATGACAAAACTTACCCGCCACCAGCCTAACTGTAACACAACTGCCTTGCCCCTCCCCGTTGGCTTGACTAGGCCAATCACAGGAGGAACGGAACAATTTATTTTTGTGAAATGAGAGTAAACGATAAATACTTTTCAAGCAGCCAAGAGAAAAGTGTATGTACAACTCACGGGTACACCTCTTATAGTATGATTGTTGAGCAGTACTTCACCACTGCTAGCGGATTTCAGCCCGACAATAATGTTTAACACTGTTGTC